GCTCAAACCTATCAAGCGGCCTCAATCGGCAACTGCGTATTTCCTCTGTAAGTAGTGACTACAACATTGGCATCACTCTCTTCGACGCGCAGGTTCGTTGCTGCTTTCCGTTTCTTACCTGATCTTTTAACTTGCGCACACGCATAGGACTGCAAAAATCCAGATCTGGCAAAAATGTGGAGTTAAATCACAACATACTGAAATTTCAAAGGCCTTGCTAAAAAAGCAGAGTGAACGCTTGTTGAGCCGTCTCAGCTTTCGTTCTTTCTGCGCCTCCTAACAACTTGTTTTTTTCCTTTTTTTGGTGTTTTGAGATATAATACATACGCTTTGGGAGGGTCCCACACTTATGGCTTAAGATATCCTGACGATGTTAATTTCTGGATTATAGATGCAGTTGCTCTATGGTAACGCAAGCGTACAAATCTCACCAGATTATCGGTTTCTGAGATTGTCATCCGGATTGTACACGGTCGATTTGAAGACTGTCTTATCACCATTCGAAATATTCATTTCGGAACAGGAGATGACTGTGCATTGCATAAATGAACGAGCAGTTGTACAGCTGCTTCCTGACTCATCAAATATCGTCATTACTACTAATCAATATTCCAGGCATCCTTTCCATTATAACGAACAGTTTTATCAGAAAATTATTGCGCAAAAATATTTCTATGATTTGTTGGTTGTTTTTCTTTCTGCTGATAGCCTTTTGCTCCGCAGGGTTATTATTGATCGTGGAAGCGGGTTTATACGCCTGGGAGGACAGAGAGTGCATCCAAGCGGTGATATAAATCTCCTGACAATGCAACTCAATATTTTATTGAAATCCGGTGATGTCAGCTCAGTTCGTGCTTCCGCAAATCGCTCACGAATTATTTTGCAAACAAATTCAACAAACGTTAGCACTTTTTCTATACAGCCTTGCGCAAACCAGAAACGCAAAACAAAATATAGCTTATATATGGATATATATACATACTAAGACCACCGGGCATAAGTGTGATAATCCATGTAAGTGTTTTTACTGTGATGCTCCCACATCTAGGCTCAGTTAGCTAAACCCTTCGATATGGGGCAGCTGGCCTTTCTTCGGCTTTGTTAAATGAAAAATGGGAGAGTTCAAGCTTTTTTTTTCAAACCATATTAAATCATACGACCACAAAAATAGCTAAATTTGCAGATGACTTCGACGGCTTCGCATCATTCTGTGGATATTATTGGTGGAAAAACAAGCTTGCATGCATACACCGGCAATGTTTCGATGGATATCTTTGCAAATGCTTATTTGGAACCGGTGCCAACAATGCTGACTCTATTCCCAACTCCTTTTGATAATTTTGGGGGTATTGGGCCAGTACTCGGCAACCTTAGCTATTCGCACACGAATGGACAAAATTTGGCCACGGATGATTTGGTTCAGCCTTCTGTTCCAGTACCTTCAACAGCATTCTTTCACTCAACTTCAACCAGAGCAAGCAGTAGCAGTACTCACGTTGCAGCATCTTCTAGCAGTTCAGTCGGTGGAGACGGTGCGGAACCGGTACCGACTCGATCGACTGCAACAGATTCCTGGATAAAATTAATAAATTCAAGCACAAGTGTGTTATCTCTCTCAACCAGTTATCCGTCAACGGTTTCTCCAACGACCATCTTCACGTCTAGCAGCGCGTCTCCTACAGCTACAGTATCTTCATCTGCAAATAACTTGCAAATGGGAGAATTTTCCGGTTCCACAATAACGCCTTTTACAACTGTGGAGCAAAGCAGGACCTCTCAATCTAGCATGTCCGTTGCTACAAGCACTGCTTTACGTACTACTGCTGGAGCAGCAGCTACGTCCACAAGTATACCAACGATAATACAGTCTCCTGCCATGATTCTAACAAGTGGACCTTTGCATTTAACTGCGTCAATTGCCTCAGCTACTCCATTAACAACTACTACTAATCTTCCGTTCACTGAATCCACCATCAGCCTGACAGCCGCCGGCGCCATAGTTACCGGTGCGCCTCTCTTCACATTACCACAGCCCTCCAAAAGCTCGTCGACTACTAGCAGCACAAATCATACGAGCCGGACAGTGAGTATTGGAGAAGCTGACTCAGTGGGCGGCTCATGGGCAATTGATGAAAATCAGGATAGCAACCAGACCGAATTTGTTGAAATTAGCTGGGATACTATTGCTCAGAGCATTGCTTCAACTACGATGACAGCTGGGACGATAACCGTTCACCAAGGTAATGCGTACAATTTAAGTTTTGCGTAAATTTCATAGCTTGAGAAAAATCAAAGTACTTGGAATTTGGAACTGACTCAGAAGCTGCTACTTTATGAATTTTAGAGGCAGCACAAACTGGTACAAAGGAGTCACCAAGAAATACAACATGTATCGAAGTCACGCCGCCGGCAACTCGAAATACACGTAAGCTATTCCTTAGGTTTTCTTGTTTCATTTTCAGAAAAGTTTTATTGTAAACTGAACCTGTTCATATGTCGACATTCTTGGTATATTTGATTCATGCGTTTCGATATGCTAAGCTGTCCTCAGCCAAAACAAAAGAGGTTTTTTGCTGGATCTCATGGAAGTGACAGTGGTAGTTTTATCTCAGAGGCCGCTTAATTGTGTCTTTGTGGACTGTTTCAGATTCCATCTGTATGAATTTAATTCCTGTTTCGTATTTTTCTCGTTTGTTTGCTAGAATGATTGGAAATTTTAGAAATGCTGCGCACTCCTGCCACCTCAGTATTTAATTTGGGGATTCATTCTTTATCATTTTGCTTCCATCCTCATGCATGCAAAACTGTTCCGCATGAACTTGCGTCATTGGAGCGGATTTGTGTGCTGACTTGAGTCTTCAACAGTAAAAGTATGCAGTGAGATGACAGTGGCGTGGAGCTAAGTCCATCTTTGTTCTGATGGAAGCAGAATTCTCGGCGATTAAAATCGTTGCCGAAAAAACGAATTCTTATGCAGTACATATTGATTGATAGCACTCGTATGTGCCAAAGGCTAAAGCTGTGTTCATAGTCGTTTTGATGCTTAGATCCGTGTGAAATGTTTAGCAAACTCCAGCAGCACCACCACTGCATGTTAGTGGTAATGAAAGTGGTTTACTGGAGTAGCGAGCGAGCCAGATAGGCATTTTCAGAATGCAGATATTTGTCAGGGATTTTGACTGATTTCGTTTGCAGCATTGTTCACAGAGCAGCCAGCAATAGTAGCAATATCGGAGGCATCAATGGAACCAATAATTGTTAAAACA